ATTAAATTGCTGTGTGATATATTATGGGACCATTTGGAGTTTGCAGTGAGGGACTTCATTATTGACTTTCATAAGTTTTCCTGATGTTACCCTCCGTTTAATTTTATCATAAGTCAATTTAATCTAGATTTAAATCTTGAATACAAGATTCTACTGTCGAATAACATCTCAATTAACACTTGCTTTAATTATTTCATGGGTTACTTAACGAAAGTAATGGCAATGGCCAAACTTTTGCAGCCTTCGTTTTATAGCATAATGACGTCATAATGATTAATGATTTTAATGAAAGGTCTCGTTAACTGAAAATCGTGTTCCAAAGGGCTTTTCAAATTCATACATTGTTAATGATTTGTCTACTAAATTACTGTCAATTACTTATGGAGCTATATTAATATTAAAGTGTTTTGAAGTCCATGTAATGTTTACAATCATGTTCGCAATGCCCCTTGCGTCCGCCGCACTTCCCACGGCCTTTTGATTTAGAACGCTTTGATTTATGCTAATGCCAATGTGAGTTCAGAAGCGGAGTTCATGCATTAAAAGACATGATAGACGTCAGTTTGTCTGTTGTGCAAAAAAAAACTGTTTTCTTTTCTGTATTTGTTTACTGAAGGGGATTCTGTGACACAAGAACACGAAGTCACGTGACTACTCCTTCATAACGACATTAGCCAAATTATCGTCTATAACCCAGTCGGGTTTTTGGTGAATATGCAGAAATTCCAAGGGACCCGTTTTGTGGAGGGGGTGAGGAGGAGAAGAGAGGACCGGTCCACTAGGAAGATGAACTAGCTGCAGCCTTTAGCCAGCTCCGATTTGAACAAAAAGCAGTGGAAGACGTATGGAACAAATATCATCTAATCAAGATAGCACTGATACGACGTACCCAACTATCTATGTTATGTAGGCCCACTTCTTGAGCAAATAAGATTTCCGAAAAAATGAATTCACACAGCAGCGTATCCAGCTTTGGGTGTGTTGGGGGGGGGAATTCAAAAGCGACTCATGCAGTTTCAGGCTCATTGATTAAGATGGGGGGACATAAAATTTGTGTTGTTTTTGTAGGGTTTTGGTGGTATTTTGATTATGCCCATTACTTACTTTCTTTCCCATTCACTCATGAAGCGTTATTGTTTTTTTTAAATCTGTTTGAGGAGACTCCCCCACCCCCGTTTTGATACGCCACTGAATTCACAGCTGAGAGACAAGGTAATCGATTCTTGCATTTCAAACAACCACTACCAGAGGCTGGGGACTTGTGAGAGTCGTGGCTTCCACTGTGAGGTTTGTTGCTAAAAAAAAAAAAATCCAATCGGTATAGGTCATAGGGGAGGGCGGCCTTAGTGCATGGTTTTACTGTACTATTTTAGGTAAGACCTATGTTCTGAGGCAAGACCAATGAAAAAATATAGCGTGGCTATCCGCCCTGAGCAAAAGCGCCCCTCATCTGTTGAAAAGCTAGAGCCGCGTTGGTCGGGAGTGTTTATTTTATTGCTGGCGATGCAATCGTGACACGTGCATTTCCTACTCGTTCGTAACCAACCGAAGTTCAGTTCCGACCATGTACCAAAGGAACTCCCGTAGCCAGAAAATAACGCCCTCTACTGATCCTATGGTGTACTATTTACTACAAACATTTCTCTCTCTCTGTCTGGCCTCCCTCCTGACGACGCAACTACTCAACGCGATGGCACGACGGCTCCCTTGCATCGTGCCGTTGGGTCGAACCGTCGCCTTCTTGCCATTACTTTTGTACACACACGACTCGTCGCGTCGTGCCGTCGCCCGTCGCGTCGTGCTGCTTTATGTCCTTTCCATGTTGCATTTTTTGCCGCCTAAATCTCGCCCCTTCCGTCACCCGTCGCGTCGTACCGTCGTGCGTCGCGTCGTACGTCGTGTCGTGCATCGCATCGCCTATTACGTCGCCTGAAGCATGACGTGACGCACGACACGACGCACGACACAACGCGTCGTGTGCTGTCGCCCTTTGTTTCTTGTTGTTTATAGAGGGCGCCTTTACTGTTTTCTTTCATTTCCGCCCCCGGTACTTGGATAGTAGAGTACAGTCCACTAATTCAAGCCCCACTGAAAACAGTGTAAAATCAACAAAAATAAAATTATTGTCTGGCCCCTAATCTTTTGATTTCCTTTCAATTTATCGTGGGCTAACCAATTACATTTTTAATAATTCCCACAAAACAAAATTACCTCCGAAAAGTGACTTTTCCAAAGTCTGATTGCAGCGATTTTTCAAGTGGCAACCCTCAACCTTCTTGGGCACTTGGGACTATTTTTCAGTTGTAGTTTTTAGCCACTCTACTCACATAGGATAGCTCAAAGATCCAGGCAGTTGATCGTGGCAACGATTTACACAATCTCACCAATTCAGTGGCCCAAAAATCTCCCTTTTTTCAGAAAAATGATGGGCTGCTACTTTTAATGCTAATAATGAGCTGACCAGAAATTCTCACTTGAATAGTGGATTGCATGCACCCAGTACACGTATATGCTCTTTGTACACTGCCGCCATGGGCATGCAGAGCCTTGAACTGACAGCTTTTGAAATATTGTCCAATTGTAGAGTATATAGATGGTAGAAGAACTAACGCAGCATCATGCCCAAAATTACTTACTAACATACATGGAAAAAGCTGCCAGATCGAGGCTCTGTATGCCTAATGGCGGTAGCGTACAAAGAGCGAATAGGAAGCCGGTCTGTTCAACAGAAAGTTTCTGTCGCTTATTGGTATATATGTAAGTCCCGATTGTATTACACAATACAATCATACTACCGGTAACTGCATGTAGCCTAGAACTTTGCTAAAGAAGTCTAATTAATGGCAGGGAAAGTACAGTGGGACCTACTAAACTGTGCGTTTTACTCCACAGTTCCTGCGCCATGAATTTGCGCTGCCAGTCTCGGTTTCAAGACCCGCAATTACACAGAAGTCAGGAAAACAACTCTGAGCCCACCTGGGGGTTGAGACATACATAAAAAGCTTGAAAAAAAATTACAGAATCACGTACACATGTCTCCCCTCCGTTGGACAAACCACTGAAACAACTGTTGCAGATGAATTGTATGATAATCATGTGGTTTGATAGTAATTTGTCTCGAACTCAGCAGTATAAAGGATGGAAGAGAAACTTAAATCCGTCTGCCATTGAATCGAGGGACCAGACGATATGTTCTTATAACAGTTTATTAGATTGTCATTTTATGTGATCTCTGATCTTAAAGGAATCTGGGAAGCTGAGACTTGCACGCATGCAGCACCGTGGGGTAAAATGTGTGTTCGGTCGATTAACGATTAGCAGAACCTTCTGTAATAATAAATGTCAGGCTACAAGCATACCATTTAACACCCCATTACACTGTGTAATATAAACGCCGGACCTGCACCAATGAACAGGCGCTGTTCTTGAGCCATTTTTTTGGGGGGGGGGAGTCGGCAGGACAACTTTGGAGGGGCTAAAGTCCACCCCCCCCCCGAACCACGCCTGCTGTTTAAATACCTTGACTAAAACATACATGTGACTAGGATTTGGAGAGGAAACTGAACCAAAGCACTCAACACATAGTTGGCACTCGTCACAAGGCAGCTATCGCAAAATTGGCAATATGTGCAGTCAAAACAATCTATGCAATCAAAACAATAATCGACATTGAAGCAATCTTCACATGAACCAATAAACTTTGAATCGCGGTAGTTTTTGCAATTTTAGCAGTCTAATAAGCTACGGCCCGCTGTCACGTCTTTGCAAAAAAGTGGCAATAGACGTTTCGTTCAGCCAAAAGCTTTTTTACATTTATTGGTAAAATACGTTTTCTGTTTTCCATTTCTGTTTTTTTTACAGATCTCCAAAAGAAATCTCATTTTTTTTTCTCAGAGTTTCAGTGCAGAGAGAAGGTAGAAGTCATGAGTTAGGCCGGGCGGTTGGGAAAGCGAGGAGAAGTCCTTTTTTGTTTGAGAGCGGAGGTTGTTTGTGCAGTAGAAGCACTGGGATTTCCCACTTCACTTACCCTGACCTTTGACCTGGGACGTCTGTACCAACCCCGGCGAAGAGGAGGAAAGAGAGTGGAGAAGGAGCCGGCTAATCCCTACTACTCTTGTAAAATTAAACCACGTTCACATGTCCCTCCCCCCGTGCGCCAGTGAAACACCTGTTGCACACGAGTTGCATATTTAAACAGAGGGTTTGTCGTCCGCCAGCTTTGACTTATATAAAAGCTGGCAAAGCTGTCTGATTCTCAGTCAGTCTGTCACTGCTGTGTAAGGACGAAGGACGAAACAAAAGGTAAGCCCATACATCTGGCTATTCCACCAGGTATGCAGTGATAGAAA